CTCCGACGGTTTCCTCGGCAGGCAGCTCTCCGACGGTTTCCGCAGCTCCTCCGAGGTTCAGCTCCTCCGACGGTTCCGGCAGGCAGCTCCTCTCCTCGGCAGCAGCTTCCTCCGACGGTTCCTCGGGCAGCTCCTCCGACGGTTCCTCGGCAGGCAGCTCCTCGACGGTTCCTCGGCAGGCAGCTCCTCCGACGGTTCCTCGCAGGCAGCTCCCGGTTCTCGGCAGGAGCTCCTCCGACGTTCCTCGGCAGGCAGCTCCTCCGACGGTTCCTCGGCAGGCAGCTCCTCCGACGGTTCCTCGGCAGGCAGCTCCTCCGACGGTTCCTCGGCAGCAGCTCCTCGACATTCCTCGGGAGGCAGCTCCTCCGAAGATTTCTCGGCAGGCAGCTCCTCCGACGGTTCCTCGGCAGGCAGCTCTTCCGACGGTTCCTCGGCAGGCAGCTCCTCCGACGATTCCTCGGCAGGCAGCTCCGACGGTTCCTCGCAGGCAGCTCCTCCGACGGTTTCCTCGGCAGGCAGCTCCTCCGAGGTTCCTCGGCAGGCAGCTCCTCGACGGTTTGGCAGGCAGCTCCTCCGACGGTTCCTCGGCAGGCAGCTCCTCCGACGGTTCCTCGGCAGGCAGCTCCTCCGACGGTTCCTCGGCAGGCAGCTCTCGACGGTTCCTCGGCAGGCAGCTCCTCCGCCCTCGGCAGGCGGTTCCTCGTTCAGGCAGCTCCTCCGACGGTTCCTCGGCTCCTCCGAGGGCAGCCTCCGACGGTTCCGGCAGGCAGCTTCCTCCGACGGTTCCTCGGCAGGCAGCTCTCCGACGAGGCAGGACGATTCCTCGCAGGCAGCTCCTCCGACGTTCCTCGCAGGCAGCTCCTCCGACGGTTCAAGGCCTGAGTCCTCCGACGGTTCCTCGCAGTCCAGGTCTGTTCTCGGCTCAGCAATCCTCCGACGATTCTCGGCGGCAGCTCTCCGACGGTTTGGTCAGGCAGCTCCTCCAGACGATTCTCGGGAGGCAGCCTCCTCCGAT